AAAATAAGCCAATTGTTCAATTTTTGAAAAATAAGCCAATTGTTCAAGTACACATTTCAGAATAATTCAATATTTTAAACGAAGTTTATAACTCCATTTTAAGTTTAAGGAAAACGCAAATACACACATCAAAAAAAGTTTGCGATCAATAGCATAAGCTCCTATAATTCTTTAAATTTAACTTTATCAAGAAAAAATCTATGTTGTATGCTTTCTTTAAATAGGAATACCCTGTTTGAAATTAAAATATAAAACTATTTTTTATTATTTATTTTAAAAAATTGAGCCATTAATCATAATGTAATAGTGATAGAAATTTCATAGAAAGAAAAAGACTGTTTAATTAAACTTAAACAACAATTTATTATTAAAAGGTGTGAATTCAATATAAAATAACTCCTCCCCTGGCTCGAATACATGCGAAGATCCTCCTGGGCATGCTGAGGATCAAGTTATCCAGCATTTCCTGGGGTAACCTATCCCATTCTTCAATAGCGGCTTCCCTGAGCTCTGGAACTGTCTGGGGACGTGGCTCACGGTTCCATACTGCTCGTTTAAGAGCATCCCACGCGTGCTCTATTGGGTTTAAGTCGGGCGAGCCGGCAGGCCAGTCTAATCGTGTGATATCGTATTCTTGAAGAGCAGCATTGACTCGTTGAGCTCGATGTGCGGGCGCAATATCATCGACCAGTACAAATTGGTGCCCATGGTTTACTCGGAATGGTCTGACGATATCATCAATAGCAACTGCTTTGTACATGTCTGCTGTCATGAAGCCCCGATACGGGATCAAAGGCGTTCTAGCTCCAATCATAATGCCACCCCAAAAGGACACCGATTTTCCGCCTTGCTGAACTGTTCCAGTGGCAGTTCTTTGTCTTTCACGGTCGCCTGGTCTTCTCCAGACACGGACACGTCGGTTATCTGGATGAGTGCTGATTCGGGATTCGTCAACGAAGAGACAGTTTTGCCAAATGTTTTCGTCCTCACCTTCTTCATTTTGCCGAAGTCTAGCCCACTGCAATCTTCGTTGTTGACGTTGCCGGGAATTGAGCGGAGCTCGCCAAGACCTCCGTGCTCGTAATCCAGCCTGGTGCAAGCAATTGCGAACGGTCTGCGTGCTAACTTCAAGCCCAGAGGCGGCCCTGACTTCTGCTTTTATTTTAGTGGCGTTGATTGTTGGATCACGGGCTGCCAGCAATCTAATATAGCGCTTTTGGGCAGCTGTCAAAACAGTTGGGCGACCGCTGCGGGGTCGGTCAGCTAAATTCCCCATTCCGTGATACCTCTGCAACGTAGCCACGACACAGGATTGGGATATAGCAAGTCTGCGTGCTATTACTCTCGTGGTGTATCCTTCTTCCCTCAAAGTTACTATTCTAGCTCGTAAAACCTCTGATAATCCTCTTGGCATTTTTTCAATCACAACTTTCCGCGAAAAATATCTTGAATCGCTTATAATTGACTAAATCAGATTTCTGAATGAGCGTAAGCTAGGACTGAAAGCCTTTTTATATGAAAAAAACAATTGAACGGGGTCATTGTTTTATGTTCTAATTTATTTTTAAATAAAGAATCTAAAAAGAAGAAAAAATCATAATATAATCTACAGTAACAAAAAAGATTTCAGTTTTTCGAAGTGATCGCAAACTTTTTTTGATGTGTGTATGTGCCGTGATGTGGACATTGCGATGTGGATCATGTGTGACATTGGCACCACGAATCTGTTACCTAAAAATTTAGCATAATAGGTAAAATAATCTATTAGTGGGATTTTTTTTTCATAAGTCCCCATTGCGTAGCGGTTAATTTCATGTAGCATTTTTATATTACAAATCTCTTTTTGTTGAATTTTCCTGAAATCTTCATTAATAATCTACAACAAATGATTTTGCTTTTCTACAGAACAGTCCCAACGACATTCAGCTGCTCGCCGATGCGCCTGCGCATTGCCTCTTCGTCCTACTAGCGCCTACGCCACCGAACGCCACCAGCATGCCAGAGGTACTCTGCGTCGTTCAAATGTGTCTGGAGGGAAACATCTCTGAAAAGTTAGTGCTGAAACTCCTTATTGCTAATTCAATTTCCCTTCAATTTTGTCAATAAATGCTCAAATAGTCTGACGGAAGTAATTGGATTAATGTTCTTGTACTTCTGGGATTTAGTGGTAAATTATATAGATAGTAAATAGTGATGCAAAGGAAGTGTGAACGGAAACAGATGTGATAAATAAATCTTAGCAACAACGGAAGCGGAAATACAAATACTATAAAGATCTTCAATTGTAGTCCATTTCAATAGGGATGATTCCGGTGACGTTTGAAATTTGAAGTTTCTAGAGATGTAGTGATGTAAATTAACTGCCTCTGTGGCCGAACTAACTGTGGTTACCATGCCGGACTGCCACGCAGAGATCCCAGGTTCGATTCCCGGGCCGAGAGAAATATTCGTATGGCCTACATTCATTTCTCTCGTGACTTTGGGTGTAAATTGTGGTTGTCTATGTGTGTGTCGATGGCACCCGCCACACAGGGTTTCCCTAGAAACGGGCTATGTTGAGTGTGTGCGTTGTTATTAATAAAAAAAAATCAATTTGAATATCTTATCGAGGTAATTTGTAAAGAAGAGAGAATCGATTTACAGAAAATAATTTAAGAACTAATGAACAAAGTAATGATGTAAATATCTATGGATAAATATTTTATTTTACACATTAAGTAATTAGGGTAATTTATGTTGTGTCTATTCCTAAAAACTACACAACCAAACAAAAAGTCAACAATAAAGCTTAAAATCAACAGCAACGAAACGGAATTTGAACAATTACTCCAAAAAGATCACGCAAAGCTAAAAACAAAATAAAACCCGCTAACAATGTATGTAAATACCTTGTATTACGGTTAATACCGCACAACGCGAGTTATACAAAAGCCGACTCGATTTATTAATTCTATGGTGTAAATCTCCATGGATAAATAATCCGTTTTACGCATCAAGCAGTTGGGGTAATTTATTTTTATATTTATTATTTCATTTTCTGTCTACACAATATACCACAATTTTTACTTAAAATTACATGTACAACAAATATTGTTTGATTTTGGTACATTATAACAAATTTCCTATGTATTTTTGTATCCTGGTTGACAGATTATTTATAAATCGTATGCGTGCAACGTAAATATTAGAAGTGTTACAGAACTCATCCCTATTGAAATGGACTTTAACTAGTTTTAAACAGGACTTATTATTATCGGATGGCTTCATTCGAGGCCTCACTGAGTGTTTAGTTATGGCGCGTGTTTAATGTGATTTTTCATAAATTATGTCCCTTTTCACTTTCTTTTTATTTTAATTTTTCTTTTTTTATAATATTTATATGATACAAAAATTTTAAATATTTGATGTGTTAGTTTGATGTTAAAAGGTTACTTGCCTTGAGATTCACGTTTAATTCGTTAATAATCTGTAGATCAGTCCGCGATAGCCTAGGCCGTGGGCGTAAAGCTGCAGGAGACCTGATCCCCTGGAACATTTGCGAACAGTTCGGTGACAAGGACTTCCCTAAACTGGCCGGCGCTAGGATCGTAAGGATTGCCACACATCCTTCCTATCAGAGAGTAAGTAAGAAAAAGAAAATTTGCAACAAGCAATATTTTACATACATACGTATACTCACGGCGTTGTATTCAGTAATCTAAGCATTACTACGTTCCGGCTTAGAAAGGAGGGTGCTGGTGAAATTACAGGCGCATGGGACGCGTCAACTTGTGTCTCAAGGTGACGGGCGCAGTGGCAGTGTCCATAAAATCTTTGCGATTTAAAGATCTGCGTGGCACTGCAACTGTTATGAATAGGCGTGTCGCTTACCACCAGATGCACGACTTGTTCGTCCCGTCACTTGGTATTATAAAGAAATCTCATTGGGGTAGGCAGAAAGTATAGATCACCACTTTGCATGATCCTGACTAACCTGTTCACTTATATAATTTTTTTTTTCATACAAACCGTCTTATTCTTTTTACTACGCACTTTATATAGTTCGTTTCTATCCATTTTACTTGAAGGATAAACAAACAGGTCATTGACCCGACTGTAGATTGTTTAGCGATGGCCAAATGGTTGGAAAATTTAAGGGAATTGTTCGATTGCAGTACCACCTCGCTCTTCAGAGCGGCAGCCTTTAAAGCCAGGATTGCCATGATGTTTTCTAACCTCCGATAGGAGAGGAACCCCAAGAAGGAGATGGCCTATAGTATTGTCAACTACAAATGAATTTAATGATTCGACTCGTTTAATTGATTCTTTTGGAACAACAGTTAGAATGGATCGAGACGAACCATAGTTGAAGACAATGGAGATGATGTACCCCCTCGTGCCCTTGCACTTCCCTTGCATCCCTCTGTCCTCCGTTCTCCACCACAATAAGTGCTGTACAGTCCTGCCATGATTTTATTGTAAACTAGCTGTACCGAAACAACATTGAAATCACAGGCAAATTATTTAAGAATATTTTTTGTTACAAATGATGATTAACTTGCATTGTAATTATAATTATTAATGTCACGTACTTTAAAGATTAATGGAATATAATAATGTATAGTCTGTCTTGTTTGAAGATGGAGTAGAATGAACGTTCATTGCGCAAATGGGTTGCCCGCTTACAAACAGCTAGTGATAGCAGTCGATAAATATTCTATCGATTTTCGACTGAATGTTATATATTTATATTATATAAATTTAAATATTATATATTTAGTACTATTTTAAATAGGTAGTTCGAAATGTTGTTGTTGCCTGAAAATATTACCATATATTTAAAACCTGTGATTAGGAAACTCACACACTCTACATAGTCCCGCACTAGGGAAACCCTGTGTCGCGGGTGCCATGGACACCCCCATAGACATCGAGTATATAACCAGAAATAGAGATGAAATGCCATTTAATTTGTTTGTAAACTATTCTGCCAAATCATTACTGTGACAACTGCGCTCCGTAAATATAAAAAAACAGAAATTAATGTGTGTTAAATATGGTCTGTATATCGCACCTTTCATGTAACAAAGTCACATTTGCAAAATTGAAACTATTCATAAGTTTAAAGATTCTACGAACGAAATTAGTCACTTAGTAGCAATATAGAATAGAACATCAACATGAACATATTTTTTTAAATCATGTGTCATCCACCTTAGATGGGCTACGGGAAGCGCGCTCTGCAGCAGCTGGCGGCGTACTATTCGGGAGACATTCCCTGCCTGGACGAGGCTCACTCCGACGACGACGACCACCAACACAGTACAAAAGACACGCTGCAAACGGAGCACATTGCCCCTAGGTACGCTTATTGACATACATATCGACCCCTTCTACGTAAAGTATCGTATGTCGAAATTGCCAAGTTTACAGGGGAGCGTTTTAAAGTTCTGAATTCACTGAAATGAACATAACACGTGACTTTAGCATTTCTCAGTTTTATTCGGCAAAACTCGTCACTCACATAGAATGATCATCTAAGAAATTTAGGATTTTATAATACTCCGTCTAAGTACGAGCTTTGCCGAATAAAACTGAGAAATTATAGTCAAGTGTTGCTATTATACTCATTTCAGAGAATTCAGAACTTTAAAACGCTCCTCTGTAAACTTAACAATTTCGACATACGATACTTTACGTAGGAGGGGTCGATATGTTATATGATAGCATTGACCATAACTCAAGAGGGCTACTAATCTCCATACGAAAGCGTAACTCTTTAGTAGCAGTAGAACAACCGCCAAGCAGTAATGTCAGCATTACTGTGTTCCGGCTTTGAAGGGTACGGGTGCTGGTGAAATTACAGGTACATGGGAAGCTTTGAGTGGCACTGCGACTATTACCGACAGGCATGTAGTTTACCACCAGGCGCACGACATGTTCGTTCCAACACTTGATATTATAAAAAAAGAAAAAATTGTGAAAAAGGTCAAAATTCCCGTGTATTTAGGTGGCGCTGATCAATAGTCTAGCTGGGAAGTAGTTTATGTTATTTAAATGATCTCAGTACTGGGTACTAAATTACTGAACTCAAAAGTTCGTGGAATTACATCTATTTACCAAGTTTGCCACTCTTAGAGGTGGAATATTTTCTTCAAATTTAAATGGGACCACTACTGAGATGCCTTTTTTTTAAAAAAAAAGAATCATCAAAATCGGTTCACAAATACCGGATTTATCGCGAAACATACATACAAAAAAGTTCTTAATACGACGCAAGCACATAGAAAAATTCGTGAGGTCCGCTCATTGACTTACAAATAAATGGACGACGGGTCTAATACAAAACCACGAAAAAAATGTCCCAAATCAACCTATTCGAAATTTAAATTGTAATGTCATCGCAGTATCGCGCTGTCAGTAGAACAAATGAAGACTAAAGCGGAGTGTCGCGCTCTGTATACGATTTTAGCGCCTTACAAGTGCGGACACTTTTTAGCGCGGACCCGACGTCCATATAATTGTAAGTCAATGGGTCCGCTGGTTTATTCCGTGGCTTAGTTGGTATAGCGTCTGGCACGGAATCGGACGTTTAACTCGAATGTTCTGAATCGCTCGGAAAGCGCCCTTCGATTCGAGAACAATATCCAATCGAACGATTCGGTCAAAATATCGAAGAGTTCTGAATCGGGGTCCAGATACGGGAGGCCGATGTGTTTGCTGGCAAGAGGCATGTCCCTCAACTTAAGTTACAAGATAAGTGTTAGAAGGTCGTACATTTTGTAAAGTAGTGTGTATTTACCTTTTTTCTTTCTTTGTTTAGTTTTTAAGTATTATTTTGTATCTTGCATGTTGTATTTAAATTTAACATTATCTTTAAGTTTAAGTCTTGTGGAACGCTTTGGCTTAAGCTGTTCATAAGAATGTTTTTTTTAATACGTAAATAAATAAAAAAATTAAGTTTTTAGAAATTAGTTGGTTACTCAGTTACGAGTATGTTAGGCTTGACGCTTAATATTATACATTAAAGCTATTAACATTGATCACATCTTTGGACCAATCCCCCAAAGGAGGGTTTTAGACCATAGCCGACGACGCTGGGCCATTGTGGGTTGGGTTTGAAGAGTACAGCAGTTTCCTCGTGACGGTTAGTTAAATAAACAAAACGCTTATATACATTTACAGGTCGAAACCACCGACGTTACTTAAAAGATTGACGGAAGTGCGAGCAGAAAATTTAGATTATCTCGGTACCAGCTTCGGTCTTACTGAAGAACTGCTCAAGTTCTGGAAATCACAGAAATATATACCCGTTTACGTCAGGTAAGAGTAACAACTTCTTATTATTCTTTGATATTGGGGTGCCATGGACACACACATAGACAACCACAAATTACACCCAAACTCACGAGAGAAATAAATGGCCATACAAATATTTCCCCCGGCCCTGCCCGGGAATCGAACCTGCGACCTCTGCGTGGCAGTCCAACATGGTAACCGTTCGTCCACGGAGGCAGTTGTACGTTATGGTCGTGTGAATTATCTCACACAAAACCACGAAAATCTAGAAAAATAACTTATTTTGCAACTTTGGAGTGCAAAAATGATAATCACACTTGTAATATTATGGTGTTTCATATCATCTTTAAGTCTTATTGCTTTAATCAATTTTCAATTTTCTTTTCATTGTAATATTTTTTTTGTTACAAGAAACAAAAGTAAACATTATACTGCTGCGTTATGGTCGCTTCTTTTTTGGAGATCTAAGTAAACATCCCGAATTTTCCACGCTACTCGTAGTCGATAATTGTTCGTCGTCGTTCAGTTACTGACCGCTGGATCAAAACGTTGTAACTTGCAATAATTAGTAGAGATGTCACGAATATTCGGCTACTATTCGGTACTCGGCCTATTCGGCCACTTTTTTTAATATTCGGTAATCTGCCGAATGCTGGGACCATTCAGCCGAATACTGAATATCAAATAATGAGAAAAACACATATTCAAAATGCATCTTGTATTTTAATAACAACTTACTGCATTAATACTTTAAATCAATCAGTGGCAGGTTGTGATGAAGAAAACATTTTTTTCAGCATTGGTTGGTAACAAACGATTGTGATTTTCCTCATAGACAATTCCTGTTTCTGAAAATAACCTCTCACTATAAACACTACTGCCAGGAGACGATAGATGAATCTTAGCAAATTTTGACAGGCTGATACTGCTTTGCGTTTGCTGACCACCACTTGTAATCCGTCCGATCTAGTTTTCAAATAAAAATAAATTTTATGTGCAATAGAACTTTTCTCCACGTCTTCATCATTTTGTATATTATCTGTAGCGACTTCCAATTGTCATGTATTGATCCTATCGTTCTATAATTTTTCAACAAAAACAACCCACTCCCGTTATCTCCGCTCACAGCGCAATGAGGCAGGTCGTAACAGGTCGCGCGTGAAATGCACAGATCTTACGTCGAACATTCGGCACTCGCCCGAGAAAGTAGCTGCATATGCGGTATTCGGGATTCGGCCAAATCACTATTCGTGGCATCTCTAACAATTATTGAACTTTCAACGATATGCCAACAGAGTAAAATTTAAATTATATTAACAATCCGGAATTTGCTACTTTTTTAAATTAGAAAGTACGACCAATTATTATGAAGATTTCAAAGTGTTTAAACTTATGAATATGTGAGTTTTAGTGACAACAGTTTTGGTAATAATCGAGGCCGAAGGCAATTCCATTGTTTTTTCTCTCGTGAATATTATAAACTACCCGAGTACTTAAGAAGTCAGACAAACTATAGAATTTACACTACAAAAATTAAAGGAATTACTAATTGACAAATGTTATTATAATTGAAATGAATGATACATTGACAAAATTACGTAGTTATTTCATTTAACAATCAGCGTTATTGCGGACGTACCTAAGTGATTTCCCGAATCCCGAACAGGTCCAGGACCTAAAAAATATTGTCGTAAGGCAATCTCCATTTTCTGTCTATGTCCCTCGACGTTAGGTAAAAAAACTCCACCTATTCCGATCCCTGATTATTATACTTGTAATGGCAGCGACTAAGTACCATATCCGTACGGGGTACTTGCCAAATAGCACTTGTGTTATTATGACATTACATTAGGAATAAATAAATAAATTTAGAAGCAATCGTTCTCTCATTGAGCTACTGTCGCTCTATCTTACCATCACGTTTTTAATTCGGTAGTCAAAAACCCAACGAACTAACCGGCGAGCACTCGTGCATAATGCTCCGAGCTCTAGCCGACAGTGGTTGGCTGAGCGCCTACAGCGGCGACTTCCGACGTCGGTTTTCGCGACTTCTCGGTCGCGCTTTGAGGCGGCTGCCTTCTGCGCTGGCGCTGTCCACGTTGCTCAACGATCACGTCAACGTTCAAAAACCTCGTAAGTACTGATTTTGTGTCGTAGCGTTCAAATTAATCTATATTTTTTTTTTATATCAAATGACGGGACGAACACGTCGTGCGCCTGAAGGTAAGCTACACGCCTGCCCATAACAGTTGCAGTGTCACTCAGAGCTTTAAATAACCAAGATCGGAGGAGCACTACCACTGCGCCCTTCACCTAAGTTGATAAGTCCCATGTGCCTATAATTTCACCAGCACCCTTATCCTTCAAAACCGGAACACAGTAATACTGACATTACTACTTGGCGACAGAAATAGGTAAGGTTGACAGTACTTCCTTGGACGAATTCCTTTACAAGGAGCTGTACTGCCACTAAACATTGCCCAAATTGGTCATACCGGGGACCACCTCATCCAGTGCCCACATTACAAACCGTTGGGCAACTGTTACGGACAGGCGTGTCGCTTACCACCAGGCGCACGACTTGTTCGTCCCATCACTTGATATTATAAAAAAAAACAAAAATTCCTTTGATTTGACTGGACTCGAACCATCGTCTGTTTGCCAAACCGGGGCTACCGCTCTTACCAAGTACAGTACAGTTCTGAGGTACAGACGAAGTCTGCAGATTTTAAGAATTTTTCTATGTGCTTGTTGCATGTTTTTGTATAGGTAGTTGAAAGACGTTTTACCTTACAGCGCTGTCAAAAGACGTGATATCACAACTCCTGTCTCCCCACGACTTATCCCGCGTCGAGTCGTATTGCCGACAGCAAGCCGACTACCGCCTCATAACGGACCTGCTCACGCCAATCGCCGACCTTGTCTTTCACTCCACTATGCCAGCGAAGCTCGATGCTGTTCAACAGGTACGTTCTTCTCCCCAGTGCCCCTAAGATCTTTGCGATTTAAAGCTCTGAGTGGCACTGCAACTTACGAATAGGCGTGTCGCATACCACCAAGCGCACAACTTGTTCGTCCCGTAATTTCGTATTATAAAAAAAATTGACCTTTACTGAGATTGTGGAATAGCAAATTAATTTACTTCCATTTTTATGAATACGGATTTCCGCAAAGTAACGCCAGAAACTTTTAACAATTTAGAAAACTTCATTGGTCGAGTCGAAACCGAAACCATTGTGCCACCGAAATTGTACAGAAATGTCAACCTATTAACGTCTCTGTGATGATTTCGCATATCCTCAGATATGAGGGTATAATGCCACTACTTAACATTGCATGGTATCAATACCGATATTAATCAAAATTAGATGAAACCAATAGAACCTATTTAGAATAAATCCATTACCCAAATTCTCCACCAGCATCCCTTGTGTAGCGTCCACAAAGTAAACCGTTCGGTCACAATGAACTCTTGTCTTCAGGTGATATTATTAGCCATGGGTTTCCAAATGAAGGACGTAGATGACATAGCAGGTGAGCTGGGCTTACCCGGATCACAAATACTTGCCAAATTCTATGAAGCGTGTAAGAAGATCAATTTCGCCATCAATTCTATTCTCGAAGACACTGTAGCTAAGGAAATAGGTACGTACAACACTATTCTAACGTTTTTGACTTTCATCAATGTGAACTTTTGAGTAGGCAAAACGAAACACAATTACTAGAAATGATTACATAATAATCTATTTTATAACTAAAAAAGGGTCTGCAAATTATGTTTTTTAGCTTTGATTGCCTGTATCGAGTATATAACCAGAATTAGAAACGAAATCAGGACCATCCATGCCTGGCAGCTCATCAGCAAGGATTGGAATAGGTAGAGTTTTTTACTTTACCTTCGAGGAACATAGACAGAAAATGGAGACCGGCTTACGACAATGTTTTTAAGGAGCTGGACCAGTTCGGGATTCGGGAAATCACTTCAGTACATTAAAAATTGATGTAATTGGGGACAGGCAGGTACACTATATTTATCTTAACTTTGCGACGCACAGTGGGTCGGATATGCGATATAGCGGACATTGGATTTTTTTTTTCACGACACCTAAAAAATGCCAATCGAGAGATTCTATTGTCCAAATTAAATATTGTCGTATCACATTTGCCATAAATCTAATAGTTTAGTAGGGAAAAAAAATGTGTAGTATTTATACGAGACCATACCTGTAGTGCCCCATCGTTACAAAGTCTTAGTCGATCCAGTCTTGGAATCACTACAGACGTTTGCACTGAAATCATAAATTAGAAAGCTGAAATAGTACAGCGCCAACAGCTGACCAAAATATCTAATTACAACAAACGGAATTTCATCGGTAATTATGTAATTTTTCAATTTTCGTCTATTATAGCAAAGCCCAAGTTAAACTGGTCGATATGAAGTGAAACAATCGACGACACCCTTCAATTGTTTCTAATTCGGACTGGCCAATCGGAGCGCAGTTGTTACCGTAATGATTTGGTAGAATAGTTTTCAAACAAATTAAATGACATTTCGTCTTTATTTCTGGTTATATACTCGATGATTGCCGGTGTAAGAGTAATAACGTACGAGGTTTTCAAATTCAGCGGAACGTTATGTAAAGGATATGTAGCAAAGTACAATATACAAAAGAAGTAAGCCATACAAATATTTCTCCCGGCCCGGAAATCGAACCCGAGATTTTTGCGTGGCAAACCAGCATGGTAACCGTTGAGCCACGGAGACAGTTAAATATAAATAAAATAAAAATACATATTATTTATACATAATTTTCATACAGTGTTATACTATATTATTGTAGCAGGGAGATTAAAAAAAAAGTAAGAAAGTTTATAAATAGAAAATTTCCTCGAGAGCCGTAACCTGGAGCATCGTGCCCAGAAGGCTGGCACCATTTCCCCTATGAATTGCTAAACTTATTCTTTGGCCGAAATAACTGCCAACCTTGTGGTCACCGGAGGCTTCTACGAGGCAATCCGACAGCGCGTTCGCTAGAAGTTTCGCCAGTGGCCCTTAGGAACCCTTTCAACCGCAAAAGGCACAAAGGCATAAATAAAAGTTAAATATAATATACTCCCTGTTAGTGTGACAGTCTGTACAGTCAATGCAATATATCTAGTCTTTGACCTAAAATTCCGATTGAGTGGTAGAGAATGCCTAATGGCATAAGTCCGTCATTTGTACTATTTTGTGTGCAATAAAGTTTAAATAAATACAAATAAAACTGTGCTTAACACTTCAGGTATAGAAGACAAATCATCTGAAGTGAACACAGATGGTCCAGTAAAGCAGAGTCTACAAGACGAACTCTCGAAGGCCGCCAAGGTAATAATTATGTTAAGCATCGTGGGAAGCATAATAATAATAATAATAATAGTACATTGTGTACTTAGGGCGGTAAATAAGGATTTACGAGACTATTAGAAGCCCGAAGTCGAAGACAGGGCTTTCGGAGTCGAGGTTCGTAATTCCCTTACCATCCGTGAAACATATAATATTTTTCATCACATTTGCGAGTAAAAGGTATGATTGCAAGCAGGCGAACTTGGATATAATGCCCCAAATAAAACCCTCGGCCTTTTTTCTTCTCAGCCATAGTACTGTAATAAGCCAGCATGCAAAGATATTTTTTACGTGCAAGTGTGATGAAAATTATTTTTCTGTGGAACATTGTTTTCATTGTTAGCCTATGACGCTGAAAGCAAAAGGAGGGTGGTGTTTTGACGAGTATGTTTGTATATTACCACCTGCAACCAAACTATTTTCTCAGCTTACCGCTATGATCACCGTATAAATAATTTAAATTAAAAATAAATACAACTTGAACGAGCTACAACATTCAGTCGTGCATCTCCCTCGAACTTATACTAATAGAAGTGAAAGATAACTAATTGTCCCGTTCACACCTTGGCTATTGAACTAAAGCCAGACCTGCTTGACAGGAGTAGACACCTCGTGAATGCTCGTCCAAGTAAGTATTGCCCACTTTACCTATTTCAATCGCCAAGCGGTAATGTAACCGCTGTGACTTTTCAACATATGTCTCAAGGTGACAGGTGCAGCGGCAGTGCCCCTCAGACCTTTGCGATTTAAAGCTTTGGGCGGCACTGCAACTGTTATGGTTAGACATTACTTGTTCATCCGATCACTTGGTATTCTTTAAAAAAAAAGGCAGCTGAACTACTAAGACCGCCTCGCGTCTTTGGATCAGAAAAGCACAATAACTACTATCTGAAACCAATCAGATAGCCATTCTTTTACCTCGGTTACTGAAACTGAACAAAACTGAAAAATTCCTTCCCAGTCGGATACTGGATTTGAACCAGCGCTTTCGGTATACTGTGCCTGACGCTCTCCCAACCAAGCTACGAAACGAACCATCTTTGTTTTAGGTTTTTAACGGCTTTTTTGAACGAGTAATTCAGAAAAAAAATTTAATATCATGATGGTAGAACATTGTTATATTTAATAAATTTAATATTGAAAAATGTTTATGAAAATATAATAAAAAAATATATTAAACCGGCAAACACGTGATGCGGGACGCTACGTGTGCCGACACACTTGCCCCATCCCATCTCCAGCACACCAGCAAGAGGGCTGGCGGAAAGAATAAAGAGTAATAAGTGTCAGGACCTCGTCTCCGACCCTTTGGAGTCTGTACAAAATTTTACCCAAAAAATTAAAAGACTGGGAAATCCAAGAGCCGGCAGCTACTTTACCCAACGCATTACCATGATCATACAAAGGCATAACGCTGCCAGCATCGTGGGCACCTTGCCGCGGGGACTCAATTTTATTCATATAGCTTAATCCTAGTTTTAGTTCCTAACCCGCAAACTGACTTCCAGGAACTAGAGCGCAAGCAACGTAAAGAACTATCCAAACTGATGGGCGAAGACTTGGCGCAGTACCGCATCAAAGGAAGCGACCTGGACTGGGGACAAGCCCTCACTGGCTCAAAGCAGAAGACCTTAGTTTCCGTTAAAAGGTATTTTGTATTTAATGCCACTGGCAACTCATTATACATGTTTATTTCTAAAATAACCTTGCTTACAGCATAAACAATTTTTTTCTAAGTGTTCAGTCATTGTATTAATAATTATAACAAACTAGTGGAGTAATTAAATAGTAGTTCATGTGACTGTTACATAATGAAAGGCTTTAAAAGACGAGCGTGATTTTATAAAAACATCACACGTGTATTTCAATGCCTAATTATGTACAGTTATATACACTGCTTTATCTACACACATATTATAAGCTCTCTATGAAGTGTTCAGGAACCGCATGTTACGACTGGCGAAATGGCGGCAAATAAAAACTTTTCTCGCTCATCTAACGCAACCGTAGTTTTTATTTAATTCATAGACAAACTAGAATCGGCCACAACTATCACATCGTTCGATATCAAGTAACGTGTGAAATTTGTCAAAATTGTTTGCTATTGACGTTTCATTTTGAATTAAACTTAATCTCGACTGATATTAGAATTGAGGTCGAATGAAATTGTTTTGTTTTTCAGAGATGTTCGAAATTTGAATGTCGAAATGTAAAATCGAATTCGATGTTATGTTATAAGAAATTTGTTTTAACAAAACAGTTTATCTTTATGCTGGTCGTAATTTGCGGTTTTTAAACACATCATAGAGTGTTAATGATGTGTGTAGATAAAAATAATAATAATTTAAATCATAATTAAATTTATTCATTCAAAAACTAAAAATAATTAAATATCGTGCTGGTGAAACATCCTGGCATCCAACAAAACTTAATTACAACATAAACTTTTTTTTTCCATGACTTACACGAAACATAATAAGTTTACCAATAATAAACTTTTAAGTTTTTGTTATACTTCTATCCTAATACGTTTTAGGTCTGTATTTGTTAGTAAGTTCAAACGTGAAAGCGTCCTCCTCGACGACCGCCAGCCCCTCCCCTGCGTTTTGCATTAGGCTGGTATGTTACCGGACAATGCACTGTGATTCCCCCATAGGCCATAAATCAAAAAAAATCATTGGCTTATCCCGGTTAGATCAACTCACTAAGTTAGTAACTAGTTAACAAGCTTCCAAAAACTATAAATATCAATGTAATTAGGTCACGTTATCATTCACTTTTGTGCATCGGAAGTGAGCGCATCGCGAGACTAATTATCACCACGTGTGAGTCATCGAAACTTAATCACTTTGTTTTTGAGTGTCACTATTCCAAATCAAGTGTTTACGTGTTGTGAAAGCATGGAGATCCAAGAGCATGGTATGTACTTTATTATCAATTTTTTTTAATTTTTTTTATGCATACTTTTTTTTATATAATTTTTTTATTGAAGGCAGTTTTTTGGTGAAAATTTTTGGCATAACTTAATTTCCTTTAGACCTACAACTTTTGGCTGCGCTGAGCTGCACCTGAGGTATATGGTTTTTGAATAAGGAGTATGTCCTTATTAAGAGCTATAAGTTTCATTTGCATCTTGCTGCCTCTTCTTGGCTTAAAGGGGTGTCAAAGTATGCATGTCCATAGTATTGAATTTTTAATTTTTTTTTAAGTTCAGCTTTCATATTGTTTTAGGTACATTTTTCAAATGTTCTGTATCGAGGATGACAATTTTTGATATTTGGCACTCTAAAGTGGGTAATCCAAATGAAAAAATGCAACACGTCCTGAGCACTTTGACCGAAACATCATCCCTTTCTGACGACATCGAAAATATTTATTTAGAGACTTTAAGCCTTAAAATTAAGAATATTTGTAAACGAATTTCCCACTACTGGGCAAAGTCGAATCGTACTAGATCTAAATTCTTAGAAAAATATTCAGATTGGCTGCATGTCGTTGAAAATATTGATGTACAGCGAACTGAGTTACGTGTATCTCAGAGCTTTGACGAAGTTAAACCATCAACTTCTTCATCGCATGGCCGTCCGAGAATTAACTTTGACGACACCAGTAAACGTACAAAAAGGAGAAGATTGGCTAGTTTGTCTAACCAAGACCCTTCTCTTGTACAGTCATTGCTCAATGCGTCCGATAGCTTGTCTTGTCCTGAAATCGATTCTAGCGAAGTTTTATCGCTCATTGTTGAAGCTCAGTTAACTCGACATCAATATATATTAGTAAAGAAATTTATAGACAATAAGTTTTCAAAAACCATTTTCCCATCTTACCAAAGTGTCGTGGAATCTAAAAAACACTGTTATCCTTCAGATATTACTGTTACAGAATCATCCGCCGAAGTCGAACTTCAAAGTTTATTAGATCATACTGCCAATCGGATTCTCAAGTCTCAAAAAGATGTTTTGGATAGTGTACCTAATGAGTCTCTAGATAAGATATCTTTGATAGGGAAATGGGGTTTCGATGGCAGTACAGGGCATTCAGAATATAAACAGTGTTTTTCTGACTCCACTCTTGAAGACAGTAGCCTGTTTGTTACTTCGTATGTGCCACTTCAGCTTGTTTTGACAACAGATAACAAAGAAAATTCAGTAGTTTTGTGGAAAAATCCTCGTCCTTCATCAACTCGATACTGTCGTCCTATACGCCTCCGATATTTGAAGGAATCGACTGCAGTGTCAGTTGAGGAAGAAGCTCATTTTAAAGATAAAATAAGGAACTTGCAGCCTACTGTTTTCAAGGAAGAAGATCGCGAATATCGCATTACTCATTGTTTGCAACTTACTATGGTAGATGGTAAAGTGTGTAATGCACTTAGTGGTGTTTCTTCATCAAAATGTTTTATTTGTAACGCCTTGCCCAGTGAAATGAACAAAATTGACGAATGTTTAAATAAGGAAGTCGATGAGAGTAAATATGAATTTGGTTTATCACCTCTTCACGCGTTAATACGTTTTTTTGAATATTTTGTTCATGTCGCGTACAATTTAGATGTTAGGAAATGGCAAGCTAGGTCCGCTAATGACAAAATGCTTGTTGCTGCAAAAAAATCATATGTTCAGACTCAATTTAGAGAAAGATTAGGGCTTATAGTGGATAAGCCTAAAAGTGGCGGAAGCGGAACATCAAACGATGGTAATACAGCCAGGCGGTTTTTCTCGAATTCAGAAATTTCCGCTGAAATTACTGGGATCAAGAAGGATCTCCTAGATCGTTGCTGGATCATCCTTCAATGTTTAAATTCGGGATATAATATTAATAAGACGAACTTCGAAGAGTTCGCTTTAGAGACGGCTCGGCAGTTAGTTGCCGAGTATCCGTGGTATAACATGCCTGCTTCCGTTCACAAAGTTCTAATTCATGGTGCTAATGTTATAGATTACGGTTTGTTGTCAATCGGAGAGTTGTCTGAAGAAGCAGCTGAAGCGACTAACAAATACATCAAGTCTTTTAGAAAAAATCATACGCGTAAAATGAGTCGCATTGTGACCAACACAGATTTAGTAAATAGGCTGCTTCTTCATTCAGATCCCTTCATAACAGGTCTACGAAAGTTACCTGTTAAAAAAAAAGGTGTACTGTCAAAAGCTGTATTAGACTTGTTATGTATTTAAAGTTAATATTGTTGAGATTTAATGTATTTTGGTATAATTTGTGTTTTGTTTGTATTTTGTAAAATGAACTTTTTTATGTATTTTTATTGTTTTAATTTATTCATTTGTGGTTATTGTTAATACAAATAATCATTATTTACACAGTTTTACCATTAAAAGTCGCAGTATAAAATGTTTTAGATACATCGTCTAAAAACAAAATTACTGCGAGACATTTTTACACCTAAATATTGTCAAATATTTTTTAAAATGTATAATTTTATTAATTTACGTTTACCTAATCATATTTTAACGTAATAAAATAAAAAAATAATAATAATTTCGGAGTTACGTATTTATGACCGCCTTAGTATGGAGCGTGAATCACCGTGCAATGTTATCACCGTAGAACGATCTATTTATCTATATCTATTAACTGCCTCCGTGGCCGAACGGTTACCATGCCGGACTGACACGCAGAGGTCCTGGGTTCGATTCCCGGGCCGGGAGAAATATTTGTATGGCCTACATTTATTTCTCTCGTGAGTTTGGGTGTAATTTGTGTTTGTCTATGTATGTGTCCATGGCACCCGCGACACAGGGTTTCCCTAGTGCGGGGCTATGTTGAGTGTGTGCGTTGTTATTATTATTATTATTATTATTATTTAAATATTTATATTTTTATACAAATGTAAAATCTGAAAAGTTACGGATTAAGTGTTGTTGTTTATGATGTTAGTAATATCGACCCCTCCTACGTAAAGTATCGAAATTGCCAAGTTTACAGGGGAACGTTTTATAATTCTGAATTCACTGAAATGAGCAAAACACGTGACTTTATTATTTCTGTTTTATTCGGCAAAGCTAGTTACTCACATAAAGTATTATAAAATCCTAGATATCGGTTAGATGATCTATTAGATGATCACTCTATGCTTAAACTTGGCAATTTCGACATACGATACTTTACGTAGGAGGGGTCGATATAGTCCTGCAAGGTTACAATTTTAGAAGTAACGCGGTATATCATCTCGTCAGTCTCATCTAGGAAGGGGTTTAGGCGATAGTTCTCCACGTTGTCCAATATTTGTAAACTTTCTTGAGTGTGCAGATTTCTTTACAGTATTTTCCTTTACCGTTATGGATAGGTATTGCTACAAAAGATTCACAAATGCACGTAACTTGGGTAATTAAAATCGTAGGCATATACCTCAAAGGGATCTGAACCGTCGACTTCTCAATTGGGAAATAACTGTTCTCCTACTATTCTTCGTTTTTATTACAGCCAAGGAAAATATCGTCAGCCTAAATGACAAATGGCATGTACAAATGACACTGGTTGCGCTGAATATAGTATTTGAATATGAACACAAAGGTCGAACACGCAGAAAAATTTTCGTCGACCCGGTGGGGCTTGGGCCCACGTCCATGCTGCACCGTAGCATTGCTCTGCCCATCTGAGCCACGGGTCCAGTTACCCAGTAGTCGAAATTCTCCTATATGTTTTTCTTATAGATCTTTGTACTGGTTTTTCGGCACTCGTCGCCATTAATGACATCTAGTGAGAGATTTTTGAATAACCTTCTCACTGTGTTCGATTTTTGTGTTCATAATCATAACAAAACCTCGCGACATTTTGATACTTTCATCTTTTAATCGTATTAGCAATGATTTGATTGGATCAACATTTACTTCCTTATTCCATCCCTTTCCCGCACATACCTTACTTGCACGAAAGAACGAGACAACGTCACCCAACTGGTGACCCCTACCGAAAGAAGAAAACTCTCGCTTACGCCAAGTTGAATTCTCGCCGACGAATGCAATAACCTTGCGTGCAACCGCCTCCGCAAATTATTGTTAAAACTGTAATGAAACCATATTAAACCGAAAACTATGGTGAACGAAGAATGGCTATGGGCGAAGCCAGTTATAGAGATCACTCAACTCACGGGCAGAAATGCCACGCGGCTGGTTGCATTTTAAAGGTATTGTGCTCCCAGCTTACCTACTCTTATTTGTTCCAATCAACCATATTTATTTATTCATATAGTCCACAAATTAAAGGAAGGCATCGGCTGCATTCCCCGCATTTTGGCCGGTTTGGACTACCCGCAACTTAATTCGCGCCATCAGACACGATTACATGTTATTTATTACTTTATAAAAAGTTTCCGTTTAATGTTTGGAAGCTCTGTTTTTTATAATGTAAGTTTTTCAAATACATGAAGTATGTAAAGATCGAAATTTTTAATTAAATGAAATATTTATATTTTTACATACTTCATCATAATTGTGAATACTATGCTTTACTTATAATAATAATAATAATAATAACGCACACACTTGACATAGCCCCGCACTAGGGAAACCCTGTGTCGCGGGTGCCATGTACACACAAATAGACAATTACAAATTACACCCAAACTCACGAGACAAATAAATGTAGGTCATACAAATATTTCTCCCGTCCCGGGAATCGAACCTGGGACCTCTGCATGGCAGTCCGGCATGATAACCGTTCGGCCACGGAGTCAGTTAATAAATATATAAAATGATTGAATGAAATGGTGCCTGATAAAAGACGAAATTTCCTTCCGTCTAATGAAAACGAAGTATAGGGGCTATTATCGCTCACATTCAACGTAAATAATATTATTGAAAAATTCCTAAATGGACATTTTTGGTTAGAAGAAACAGGAAGAGCCGAATTTACGCCGCTGAATATTGTGGCACTAGGTTTATTGTATCCGTGACTTTTTCAGCGGAGAGAAACGTCTCGGCGACGACACCAAGGAGATCGACGATCTGATTGAGGCTAATCCCAACAAGAAGAAGAAAAAGAAACATCAAAGACATAAATCATGAAACTGTTAATTTTCAATAAAAATTTGAAAAATTATTCACGTGTTTCGTTGAAAAATTTATCAACCTCTTTCCGCTTTTGTAAAAATATAAAAGAATTTATCGTCTAACGACGTCTATCATCAGAGCAGTAGCACTCCTTGTGAAAGAGTTCGTCCAGGGAAGTACTCCACCTTACCTATTTCTGCAGTACAGTCACAGGTCCAAAAATGAAGTTGGCGTAGTGTTGATTCGAGGTATCGGTTTGTCAATTTTGTCAGCGTGTATCAAGACAATTTTTTTCTTTTTTTTTTATAATATCAAGTGACGGGATGAACAAGTCGTGCGCCTGATGGTAAGCTACACGCCAGTCCATAACAGGTGCAGTGCCTCAGAGATTTAAATTGCAAAAATCTGAGGGGCATTGCCACTGCGCCCGTCACCCTGAGACATTAGTTGGCAAGTCCCATGTGCCTGCACTTCGCCAGCACGCTTACCCTTCGAAACCGGAACACCGCAATGCTGACAGTGCTTGGCGGCAGAAATAGGTAAGGTGGCAGTACTACCCTGGACGAGCTCTTTCACAACTCATTGTAGATCTCAATCTACTGTGAATGTTCGCAAGGAATTGTAAAATTCCTGTTCACACTGCAAAATATCTCGAACAGAAAACCGACAAGCAGGCTATTTTTGACATGAAAAAGAAAACAACGTGTTCAATAATAATTTCTATAATTATTGTAATATAAAAAAGTGTTGGTAGTTATTCAACCCTTGGAATAGACAATAGATATTTCCTCTTAAACATAACAAATATGAGGAGTTATGGGGGTCACCGTCGCAGGCGCCGACCGCGGCGCTCGTATAAAAATATTCTTTTTTTAACCCGACCCAGCTCGCGGCCGCTACCCAACGGAAGCCTCCATAAGACGTACATACTTCTATACTTTACCATTTTATTACAATATAATGTGATCTAAGAAAAATAATATTTTCGTCTAACGCCAGCGGCGTCTGGTAAACAATTTTATACTATAATTTGTTTGTCCCTTATTTTAAACACGCGCTACTCATTATAAAAGAATAACCCATCGGCGTGAGCCGCTAAATATTATACAGCGAAGGCCCGACGTTTACTTGCGACAATTATATGCAACTGACAAACTAATTCAGTTTTTATTTTTTACTGCGGCTACTTCGAGACTATTTAGTCGCATATTCAATTGTCGCAATCAGCTTTGCATCGATGAATTTGTCCTGAATCTTTTCGGGATTTATTCTTTGAACAAATGATGGTTTATTCCAATTACAAAGAACAAATTCATAGTGCTAGCTCTGCACATTTCTCTAGTCTGATACATCATATACACCCCAGTTAGTTAAACGCTAGTATATCAAGATAAAACATACACTACAAAACATAATTTAGAATATCATTAACTTGTTATCATTAGTTAAAAACGTTAATTAAAAATTTCGTTTAGTTTTATACACTATTCCTCACTGAATTCACAGGATACTTTTGAGAATAAATCACAAAATTCTGTCAATAATAATTGACACTTGGACATAATGACGTCCATTGCGCCTATATATAATTACTAAATAATATAGGAAATGCAATTATTTTTCCGGATTTAAATCGCGTATATTTGTTTTTTCAAACAAACCGACGTTTCGGTTTGTTTGAAGAAAACAAATATACGCGATTTAAATCCGGAAAAATAGTTTCATTTCCTATGTGTAACAATCGCGAAAACCAAAGAACTCGATACTAAATAATACTTGACCACCGATCAGAAAACACTAAGCTTTGGAAAGTTCGCAATATGCAAACAATTTAAATGAACATCATGTTAGGTCAAATAATGACTAATTAGCAGCGAACCTCTTCATCTTCAACCGATTGTAAGGATTAGTGGGAAATGATGTGATCGAAAAACGAGAGTCTAACCTCTTAATAGTTTTTTACAGCTCGGCACTTGTCATCACTCTTACGAATTTATAACTTTGATGCGCTTGTTATCGATTATTTACAGCTTGGCGGCATATAAGCATCATTACTAACAAAAATATTTTTGCCAGCCGTCGGCCATATTTTATCAGTTTAGGCATTGACCTAGTTTAGGTAATTACTTAATACATACGCAAAATAGGCGCTTTGTCGTCGAGTTGTGGACACCAGCCCGTTGCATCAAGTACCAAGTACTTAATACATCACCGTTGCAAATTTTTGTTAATTGTTAGATATATAATAGATCCACCGAAATTGTATTTAATGTTTTACATTTCACTGAATGTTTCAAATTGTGAAATGTCATTTCACTGAATGTTTCAAGTCGTGAAATGCCATTTCACTGAATATTTCACTCGTGAAATGTCATTTCATTGAATATATCCGATGAAAAGGTTTTTGGATAATGTTTTTAACACCTATCCATCTATCTTTGTTCACTGGTATAGATTTAGAATACTATTCTGTCAAAAGTATCCTGTTTAAAAGACTTTAGTTTGGCTAAGCGAGACATAGGCATTAGAACTGTATAAAAAATAACACAACTGTGAGAATAATATCTTGAAAATCTATATTTTAAGTTTAGTCTAGCCAAATGAAGGCATAAATGGCGTGTATAGCATATATATATAAATATATATATATACACACGCTTAAGAGTGTGTATATATATGTGCAGCAAAAATCATTTTTTGTAACTGTATAAATGCACTACAGTATTTGTAGTAAAAAAAAACAATAGGTCTTTATTCAGTTGCGATTGAAGTCAAAATATTAATCTCACATAACGTATCTAGACACGACGTACGCAACACGATACGCACTACAAATAAGTACATACAGTAATTGAGAAGGAATTGCACTTAGGAAAGGATTTGCGACTCTTGGCACTTTATCTTATGCTAATAATTTTTCACAAAACGGTCTCTTTGAACAAAACACATTTCTTTAACAAACTTAAACTGATTTTAAGAATCAAAATAATGATAACTCAAGTCTGGTATAATAGTAACGACGCTGAAACTGTAAAGTCAATGTTAAAAGAAACAACTCAACTAAAATATATGGAAATAACAGTTAAGTCACTAATTATTTCAAGACAGTTTCACCTGATGGTGTTAATTGATTGAATTTTTTACCGCATATATCAAGTTTCAGAGTATTTACAAATATACCCAGGATACAAGTGTTATTGACGTTGAAAATACCTTCATTACAACAAATACTTACAAAATTTCTTTAATCTCGCAATACTGAATGACCAGAATTCCAAAGAAAAATTATTTATATAACTTTTTTATTTGTATAAGAAGCTTCTGCGCACAGGTAATTCTTGTTAAAAAAATCAGTGTCACAAAATTATTTTGATCACATTTGAATATATATATAAGAATGTAGATAGAATAGAAGAAGAATAGAAACCAGTCAATATACATTTAATCATATAAAATTACCATATATCATTGCACCAAAATAAATAATTTTAAGGAAACATTCGACACTCATTAAAAATGCTACAACAAAATACAAAGTGGAAGTATATTAATTAATATAAGTTAATATTCTTTCTACTTTATATACTCCACGTGCGTTAATATTTAAAATATATATATATGTAATAAGAATGTCTAGAATTTGAACTTAGTGTACGTACATTGTGAGAAGCAGTGTACAGCTCGAAAATTGGGACGTAGCCTATTGGCTTTTTCTCGTTTCATCGCCTTTCTTTCACCACCTTTGTATGAAAAGGGTTTTTACTCTCAACCGAACATATTATTACAGTCTATTGCTCTGATTTATCTGTAACTAAGAAGCTTCATTAACTCTATTCATAGTACAGGTGGTGAATGATCGTGTATCAAACGAGAATAAGTCTCTTATAATAGTGGGTGTACCATCCAATAGTATACCAAAAACACAAAAGCAAATTCACTATGCCTTATTGCCACACTTAATTTTATTGCTACGACATTTAACTGCTCTACGTATATTATTAATATAATTGTAAATATAATCAATATAATCAGTTACAACATCCAATAAAACAAAATATCGTTAAACATTATTGCATTAAGTTAAACTATTTAATTTAGGGGTTTTCAGTTGAAACATATTGTATAACTCCATACATGTAAGTGCAGTTTACATACAGTGCTGTAATTGGTGAAATACTGACGCGAAGATAACGATTCGCTGATTTATTGTTGTTGAAAAATAATGTCCGTCTCTCAGTACAAGAGATCACATCGAAACAAATGACATGAAATATCTCACTAAGGCACAATTGAAATTTCCAATTTGAACTTTCTTTAACTCTAACATAAACAAATTCAATCCCCTCCTTATTGCAGCGGGTTATTTAATATAAATCGGGTATTTAGAAATCGCACTAGCTTGTTACCTACTACAGCTAAAGGTATACAAACACCGAGAAAATTATTAGCAATTTAGAAAAATCTGTACTAACTTGGCAAGCGACTGTAACGCCCGTACTATAAAAAACTGCAAAAATATTAAAAATATGCATTTATATTAACTAGTTACTATATTTGAATTATGTTATATATTTTTTTTAGAATTGGTATTGAATTTTAGAATACATGTTCATTGTCTTAATTGTAGGTTGATAGTGGCCTTGCTAATTCTATAAGGGCAGTTTGTATTTTGCTTCACTATTCTATATTTAGATAAATTTCACGTAAAATAAATTTAAAAAAAAATTAATTGTGTATATTTATTTAACAAACATGAAGATTTTCAAATATATTTCTGTCAAAATATTATCACGTAAATATGGAACAGTAAACCAAATAATAAGTGTTACATCTGAGTTATTAAACATTGGGAATCTAGCATCTATTTTATCGGAAAAACATACTAGTTTTGTTTGGATTCTATCTACATACCTATTGTAAATGTTCATTTGGTAAAAAAATACCACAACATGGGTATTTCCTATCCAACTGTCGTAAATATGTATTGCCGCTTCATTGTTTTATACCTAGTCGTATACAAAAGCGT